AAATTTAAAAACAAATTTTTTTAAAAAAAAAAAAAAAAAAAACTTTCTTTAAACACAACCTTTTTTTTTTTTTAAACACAACTTTCTTTGATATGTTGGAAGGTGAGGCACATTGTCTTTGCTACTAAAAATTGAATCCATATTTGCAATAGTTTCTTTCATATTTATGCTCTTGCTTATAAGTTGGATTAAAAAATTAAAATATATGAATCATTATTCCACTATAAATATGCTTTATTAGTAATCATGGCCCACATCTTAGCTGTTATCTCTTTAATTATTGATCCTTTCAAGATAATTTAGGTTGCCAGAGTGCTAATCCTTCAATTATTTCCAAAAACTAAACAAACAAAATGACAAAGTTTCAACTAATTCTATGAAAAGTGTTTCCAATTATTTGTTTACTGATATGATAAAAATACTAGAACAAGAGTTAAGAACATGTTTGGCTAAGATTACAAGTTTATTTATAATAAGTTAATTATTTTGACATTAAGATCGTAATTACTTCAGAAACAAGAAATGTACTGCCAGAGTTTCATCATGTGTTTGAGACGAGATAAATTTATTTATAATAAACACAACATGCAACGGAAACCTTCGCATACAGGCCTAAAGCAAGCATGGATTTTGGATATAAAAAAAACTAGGAAAATTCTACTTGTACATAATTATTTCACATAATATAATGTGACAATTATCCGATTATTGATGTGCAAGCATGAGATTCGATTTAAGTGTTGAATACAGTGCCAAGTGTAATTATGAACACATTATGTACATGTAACACTTCTCAAAAAATTATATAATGACCTATTCATTTTATTGAGTCACTAATTTTTATTTTTTTTTAATTCAATTATACATAATTTTCCCTTTTCAATTTTCAAATTTACTTAGGGTGTGTTTGATTGACATGGAAAATATTACATAGAAAAGAAAATATTTTCCATCTTTCGTGGAAAATAAAAACCACCTCTACCCAAGGAAAATATTTTCCTTAAAAACAAGGAAAATTAGGCATATTTTCAAAAGTTGGAAAATGTTTTCCATGGAAAAAAATAGCAATCAAACACTCAAAGTGAAAATTTGGATGGAAAACTGATATTTTCCATGGAAAATAAATGTAATCAAACACACCCTTAGTGTTTCTTAAAAATTAGAGAAATACGGTCGCTTTGTAGTTACTAAATTTTGAAAGGAATGCAATTATATAGAAATTAGAGGCCGTGAAGGATTCTGGTCAATGGATGAAGAGAGACAAAACCCCCATATTGTGATGCATGACAATCCTATTATAAATAAAATAGAAGTTAGTTATTATTTAAAATATAATATCATCTTCTTTCTCGATTAGATTACAATTATTATTATTATTATTATTATTATTATTATTTTTTAGATTATAATTTTCTTTTTCCTTTTACAATTTTAGTTTCCTTGTACCGGTAAGATTAGGAAATAATTTTCCCTATATGAAGAAAGACTTCGTACACTTTTCAATTAATCAAATTATCCCTGCATATTTTTTAGTTTTTCAACAATATTCTTGCTTTCAAGAAACCAATTTCGCTTCTGCACAACATCGTACTCGCGAGCATGGATGGTAACATGGTACCAACAAGCACAGAGGCGATCAAGTTGTTGCCGAAGAAGATGGTCGTCGAGAGCGGGGACGAAAGATGTGTGGTGTGCTTGGAAGATATTCTAATGGAGACGATAGTCTCGAACCTGCCATGTTCACATATTTTTCACACTAGTTGCATTACAGAATGGCTCAACGTAAGTCATCAATGTCCTCTTTGTAGGTTTGAGATGCCCAAAGCATTCAATAAAATTAAAAGGAACTGGATCTCAAGCTTGGATGAAGTGGACTAGTTTTAGATTTAAAAGGTCTCGACTCGATCACTACTTATTTTCAGTTTTTAGTTTTTATACTGCTAAGCGACACCGTTTCTCTTTAAGCCCTTCCTGAGTATGGAATTGGCCTGTTGTAAAGAACAGGATGCTTTAGTTGGGCTCGGTCATGGGCACAATGGGCTCCTTATTTAATGGGCTTGTGTAGGATTGGACCAATAAAGATCATCAAGAAGCCTGTAAAAACAGCCCAGCAGCTCGGCCCATCACAATGTAACATTTTCAAATCATGCCTATTTTCTCACATGACAATAAACTTTCGGGTAACTTTTAACTGTACTTTAACTCGAATGTTATTCAGGTAACTATATTTTCAAATTTGAAACTACAAATATACACCCAACTCAAATGCAATGTAACTGGTGATCGATATTCATAAAGGTAAAAGAAACTACATCGTTAACACACTTGCTGGACTCAGATTATCTATTATGCTCGACATGAATTATCTATGAAATGTATCTAGTGATCAAACCAAACAAGCCCTAAAAGTTGTTCAATGCACCATGCTTATTGTAGGTGATCCCTAAAAAACTACATCAAAAAAAAAATAATAATAATAATAATAAAATAAAAAAAGGGTGAAAAACAAACACGAAGCATTGGAAACTTTAAGAAAAATAAAAAAGCATAAGGACTCCCAAGAAATACCTTAATTTTTCATGTTGTTGATATTATAACATCATATCCTGATCAAATTATAGTTACTCAATTCAGTAAAATTGAAGTGTAATACCTTCTTGACATTAGAAAAAAAGTATCGTTACCACGAATGGAATTTACTTGTAAACCTTCCTATTGTAGTACTATAGAATCTCCAAGATACATAAACTTCACTAACAATTCTCAATTAAAAATTTGAGTCAAACAAGATCATTCATGCTATTAGCTCAAACTATGTCCTAGTAATGTTTCTATATTCCAATTAGAGAAGGAATCAATGTACGTAATATATAGAGACTTTCATCTGTTCATAAAAACCTAATACCCTCCTGCTGCTAAAACCTTTATCCATAAGCAATACATATTTCATATTCTTGAGTATGGAATTTTGCCATTGCGATATAAACATTGACGTGTTGGACCTCAGAGAACAACAATGGTACATTACAATTTTCCATCATCACCAAAACTCGATGTTCTTTTTGAATTCCGTAGCCAAACTATAAATCACCAGATAAATCTCCAGTAGAGGCCAGTTTTTAGGATTGAAGTAGGACCAGTGAATTAGATCTCTACTTCTCTTGATATAGTGATGCCCTTTAGTGAGTATGAACAAATTGCCAACACGATATTAACATATAACAGCATAAGATCTAAATTTTTTCAGATGAACCTGCTATAAAATTATGTCACTTACATAGCAAACGTTACGAATTTTCAGACTTTTGATAAAACAGTAAATAAATCGAGTCTTCCGCACATCTATCTGTAATTATATGCTCATCTGACATGGATTGGTAGTAGAACACTGACAAGCTCTTGGATAACAGAGAAAAACATCAAAATATTCGTTTATGCATAAAGTCATATGTATGAACAATCAATGCCACTTTGGAGCTACTTGCGAGCTATTCCATAGATATGGGGATTTACTAGTGATGCAGTTGATAAAACAACCTGATTAATATCAAGATCCGAAAAGCCGGCTTTAGCTATACTGGTTCCTGTATTCCTGGTGAGATGACACCCGTCAGCAACCATCTGCTGCAACGGATCAAGAACCCCCTGGACGAGTCTATGAATCGTCCCATCTGCCAATAACAACAAAACAGACCTCAACAACAGGATGGCAAGAGAATTAAGAATTTCAGCACGAATTAAGCACAACAATCTTTATTGCATAAATGAAACTAGAGAGTCGATTTATTACCATTTGCAGCCACGTGTTCCACAAAAACATAAAAACCACCCGGCTTAAGCACCCTCCTCACCTCTGAAAGCAAAGATATAACATTAAATTAGCACCTAAGGTGAAACAGGAGAGAGATACACCAGTAGTTTACACCGTAGACATTATTTTTACATCTTTCACATGTTCTATCTTTGTAGCACGGACACTTCAACTGGAGTAGCATGTCCGTGTCCAACATGCATTGATACTAACACTCATCGGACACTTTATTATAAGCATTTTTATTTTTTATTAAAAATATTATATTTTAAACTCAAAATTATTATTAAATAACAAATAAGTAATCATACTTAAAAGATTTCAACAAAAAAAATTAATGTCAAGTATAAAATTAAATTTATACTATATAAATGATATTTTTTAAAGAAATTATGATTTGTGAATTTATAACGAATCAAAAGGTAAATTATAAATTTAGATCACATAGTGAAATTCAAAAATTGGATAAAAAGATAAACTTTTATTATTATCACAGTCATAAATTGAATTCTTAGGTGATTTAATGTATTTAGTTAAGACTTATTTTGAATTAAGTAGAGTTCTAATGAAACTTGAGAGACGAAATTAAAGGAGAGAATTACAGTTTCAATAAATAATTGCATGTCAACGTATCCAACACGATACATCATAGCGTTCTATTATTAACATATAGTGACGACAATCAATATGCTAATCTCAAATAGCATATGAAGTAAATAGAAGATCCAGTTACTGATGTTATTTACTCAAATTGCAGTTCTCTATTACAGAATATTGTATGCTGTATGAACCAGATAACACAATTTAGGACATAACTATTTGTTTGTCAATTAAAAGATGTGAAGGTTATTTTTTACCATTTAGCCCTTTGGAAGTCCATATTTTCTATAATTACAGCTTATGATCTTGAACACATATACCTTGCAACGTCATATCAACATCTTTTACTGAACATAGAACAAGTGTTCCAACAACTGCATCAACAGAAGCATCATCTACTGGCAAAGCCTCTGCAACCTGCATAACATTAACAAATTCAGCCAAAACTTTTTGGTACCCGTGTTTCTTCATCTAGAGATCATCAATTCAACAGAATCAATAAATAATCAGTCTATCATTGTTAAGTTTTATGGTAAGAGAGAAGACCAATGTACTGAAAGTGTAATAACCACAGACTCTCTCCATCTTGCCCCTTTTTCCATTAGTTTGGCTCCAAGACTATTCCGTGCATCATTTGCTTATGTACTATCCTCTGGAGGTTGGGCCCGACGTAGATTTTAATTTTACATCCCCAGTAATTCAAAAACATACTTCCCCTTAAGCAGAATTTCAGTTTAATGAGGGTACGAATTGAGTAACTTGCTCAATTAGTACTAGGACATGAAAGAAATCCGTGTTGGGGCCCAACCTCTAGTGGACAATATATATGCACAAAATAGCCCTTGAGTGAACGGGCTTGTAGGGGAAGTCCGTGATCATTACAGAAATCATCATCATGTTGACCAAACAAATTAAATTTTACAATGACAGTTTTAAGGAAAATAATTTAAACATAGAACTTAATAAAACTCGAATTAATATCATGGAATTTCGAGGAAAAATACGTACTGCTTGCATAAACTCGAAATTTGAAGGTTGAAGCCCTGCAGCCTCTGCGGCCACCAACGCATATTTCTTCATCTTACTATTCGGATCAATGCCAAACACATGGATACCCGGGTCATTTGCATAGTATTTCAAATTTGGACCAGTTCCAACTCCAATCTCCAAAATTTTGTGTGCCTTCCCTCTCAAGTTAGAAAAAAGTTGTGACTTATAACCTGCAATCTTACCATATACAGGAACAATTCAAGATGTGGGTAAAATTCAATCTTAAAGAATAACATAAACCTTGAACACATTTTCCCAATAAGATCCCTAACCTCGGCTTCATAAGGTTTCGTTAACTTGTCCAAAGCAAATGCATAGAGCTCCTCGTACCATTCTGGCCTTCTAGGACGAATCCTATTCAACACTTCCTGCATTAAATATATAATTTTTGATTTCTATCATCCTACCCAAAAACAGGGTTTGAAATGTAGATATCACCAGCCAAATTCATTGATTCTTGGAGAACATATGAAACAATTGTATTATACCGTGTATAACATAATAAATTGCATAAACCTGAAACTTTCGACTATAAATTAAATCAAATACAGTACTTAAAATGTCAAATTATAGCAATAAGAATCGAAACAGTACCATGGGATCATTTTTATCTGAGGCAAATGAATTTTTATCCGAGGCAAATGACGGGTTAATGGGCAAAAAACCTGTTCCCAGTCCTGCTTCCATAAAATGTCTTCTGCTAAAACAAGAACAGAATCTTCCACCACTACACGCCAATAAATCCGCTGTTTTTTTCTTTGATTCTTCCGGGCTATTTTCTGGAATTGAGGAAAATCTGCAGCTAACTCTTTTTAAGACTGCCCTTTTAGTACTAATGGTGGGATTGATAGATAGAGAGGAGCCAAGATTGGAAAAATTAAGAATCATCCTAGATATTATTGTTCTGACTTTTCTCTTTCGTATTTTGTTTCTGTTTTTGCAATACTTAAAATATTTTGTTTAAGATTTTGAGAAATTTTGTAACAACCCCTGAGGTTTTCGCAATTCCATTCTGATCACACATGTATCTCTTTGTCTTTCTTCTAGCCCCTTTTTGACCGCACTCGACGCTCTCTGTTTCCTTCGGTCTCTTCCTTTAATAATTCGAATTTAATGAATTTGGTTTACCGTTTTTGTTAGCAACCCTTCGGTCATGTGTCCAACTATTACACTAGTCTAAATTGTCTGCCGTTCTGCATCTGCAATCGGGAATAGTATGAGGTCAACTATACAATAATTGATTTAAATTGCCTGGTCAACGCTCATCGCTTATTTTAACAAATCACTTCTTAAAAATAAGATCTTCCCGAGTCCGCATGTCAGGCACCGATGTACTCCCCTTTCCACATAGTACAGCAAGGTTACCAACAATTAGACGTATGGCATATTTACCAAAGAGTGCATTAATGATGTCATCATATACATATACTCTATTTGTTCCAATTATATAGCATTGTTTCGTTTTTCATATGAATTAAAAAAATTTCTTTAATGTCATTGAAAAATTAATTTTTGTCAAGATATTTCCTAGTTTACGCCTATTTAATTTTCAGCACGTAATAGTAAATTATTGTTGAAATTAGTAAATAACTAATGCTAGCTTGTGGGCCCGCACGTGCCGTCCATGATACCACGGTCTGCTTTACGAATCTATAATTACATTAGGCTCCCTCTCCTTGTAAGCTAGTTTTTAAAGGTCGAACTTATTGTGCGACCAGATCAGAGAGGTAGTCTGATTGGAGATGAGGGCAAATTATTCAAAATACATGGAAGACTGCAAACTTATACAGTTTTAGTAGTGCTAAAGCATGAATATTGAATTTGAGAGACACTACATGTACAGAAAATGATTTGTCAAAAACCTTATAGACCACTCACAATACCTGGGGCGGGTAGTTTAATTTTTTGAATATAAAACTCACATGGGCCCCGCCTCATGTGAGATTTCTGATTTTGTTCCGTATGAAAAAATTTTGTACATGCAAAATTTTTCATTGAATTTTACTTGTAGCTTCTATCTAATATTTTAAAACTAGTAATACACATAACCTCCCAATCGAGATGTTCTAGTCGAGTTTGATAAGTTAATGGAACAATTTTCTGTTAAATTTTAGATATTTATGAAAAAAAAATCAATTTATTTAACTCTAAAACGTTTGTCTATGGTTCTCAAGCTCTTCCAAAGATTAGTCAAATTACAATTACCATTGCAAAATATTCATACATTTTTCGTTCTATTAGTATTGATGTGAAAGATAAGGACCAGAACTTAATATAGAACATTTTCCCTTGTCTCATCGTTGGTCGCTTAAAGACACTTACTGTTAGTGATTGCTTGTAGGAGTAAGCAATTTATCAGACTTTATGCAAAAATGTCACTTATTTTTACAGCAACTCACCAATTGAATTGAAAAAAGTTTCACTCAGAGTGTGGTTGATTGACATAGAAAATAACACTTAAAAAAGAAAATATTTTCCATCTTTTGTGGAAAATAAAAACCACATCTACCCAAGGAAAATGTTTTCCTTAAAAACAAGGAAAATTAGGCATATTTTCAAAAGTTAGAAAATATTTTTCAGGGAAAAAAATAGCAATCAAACACTTCAAGTAGAAATTTGGGTGGAAAACTGATATTTTCCATAGAAAATAAATATAATCAAACACACCCTTAATAGTCGAAATCAAATCTATTAAAAACTTTAATACTTTTTTCTTCATTAAGAAGCCAAAAAAATGGGTTTTTTTCTCTGCTGGATGTGGATAGCTGCAATTGGTCGGCAATCTGCCTAGAAGTCATCACTTTCAAATCCCTTATCCACAACTCGAATTTGTTAAAGTGATAAGAACATAACAGCTCAAAATACAAAATTATATGAAGAAGATAATGCCCAAAATATTGCTACTAGTACCAGGATAGAATTCCTCAACCTTGCCCTACCCTACATGATCTCATACTACTCCAATAATGACCCCCCAACCCACCCCATCACATCCCCTACTGAACTTCTCTTTTTTAGTTACAATATATAACCTTAAATCTCTCGAATTTAACAGTTTACATCAAATACTTTTGAGTTTTTGAAAACATTTCTTGGTTCTTCCTTCAGAAGATTGTAATCACCTTAGGTCTTGCATGTGGATAAGATGTGTGGATGGTGTAGCCAAGGATGACTTGCCGACGAGCTCGTCAAAGGTTTATATGAAAAATGTTGGGAGCCCATAGAATTATGGGACAATATTCTAGGGGTGTCTTTTCGGAGAGTTATCTTTGGCTACATTTCAATCTCATATTCACATGTCAGTTCTACGATGATTGCGAGAAACGAGTACTACCAAGGCTAAAGGATCACATTTTCATACTGCAAATGAAGTGAGTCTCTCAGTCCTTTATTTCTCTCTATGGAAAGAACTATTTCATTGACACAATGTTTCAGGGACAAAAGGCACATTGAATTCAAAACCCTGATATATGCAGCCACCATAGGTCTCAAAAAGGGTTAGATTTATTCAGGTAAGGTATGTTTCATATGCAGCATTAGAAACAATATAATTGATAAGATTTAACTTCTTTTCCTTTTTAATATTGTTCACCATTAGACTAACAATCTACTTTACCAAATCAACCAGGTATGCTTGTTTGATAATCTTGTCAAATAGTGTTACTTTGCTGCTAAACAGAAATTGATTTGCTACATTTATGGACTTTATCGACTAGTGTATGTATTAAGTTGTGAAATTTAATTATTGCTCTAATTTTTCTGTAAGTTGTGAGTCGTTATGAGGGTTTATCTAGTTATAATGGAGAAAATAGGTTTTGAGGTTTTTTCCCTTGTAAAATTCTTTTATCATAGTGAAATACTGTAATGACAAATATTGAGCTAATCTCATATTGAGGCAAACATATATAAAACTTACATATTCTTTTGTCTTTTTCCTGATTTTATTGTTATGGGCGGTAGGCTTTCCATTCGCATCAACATGGACAACTGCATCTAATTATCCTCTCTTGGTGTTAACCTAAATATAACACTTATGTTTTCGATCACAAATTTTTGAAGGTATATTTTTTGTTCAAGTGCACTAAAAGGGTCAGTTCCTATCCGACGCACAAATAAAGAAGTGTGAGATTGTAATTGTAATCATTTTCACTTCTTGTAGCGTAAATTTGTAAGAACAAGTCGACATAGTTCTTGCATTGATACATAATCATTATTAAGGTAATGCGTTTATGATTTTCTAATTTGATTAGAGCTTCTAAAATTAGATGACTGATTGGACTCACACTCTCATGTGTCTCTGTCCGTGTTAATTTTTATAACATGTGCGATTAATAAGTGACACTCTTTATTTGTATACATTGTTGTAAAAATTAACGTGATTTGTGCAATGTACTATCAATTATAAGCATGAATCAAATGAAGTAAATATGAGAATAGAGTTAGAAATGCTGGCCTAACAGAGTCGCGATAATCGCTGTTGTAAAGTCCTGTGGCCTCCCTTTCGTGCAAGTACTTTCGCCAATGCACGGCTCCAAGATAAAACTCTTATAGCTCGCTGTCGATTCTCCTTCTTTTGGCACGACCACAGGGAGAGAAAGAACAAGCCCTTGTCAATTGCCAAAAGTTTATAGAAGAAGATAAAATGACAAGAGAGTAATATGAGAAGAATAATATGAAATAGAGTAGTGAGTATTTTTGTGTTCGATTTTGTTTTGTCAAAGAATGTGAAATCCACCCCTTTTTATAGTAGAAGAATTCAATTATCTCATTATGAAAATTAATAAAATTCAACGTATGCTACAAATATAATAATGAGATTAAATTTTGTATCGAATCTAAAATTAAACATAAAACTGAAAAATTAAAAAAATAAAACTTAAAAATTAAAAATTAAAATGAAAACTGAAATTTTTAATATTTAATTTGAATGTTTTATAACTTATTTTTTTCAACAATCCCCCACAAGTTTTAAAACTTTCAAAATAATTATATACTGTGTAATAGGTGTAGGTGTCTTTTAGACTTAAACCTCACTTAGCGATAACAACTTCCATTTGAGGGAGCCATAATGGACTAAACCTTGAATTAAGTCCATTTAACCAAACTTCAATTGCTCCAAACACATTATCGATTTGGGCTTAGTTCATAGCAAGTAGCGCTGTTAATGGCTATGCGCTCTTATCTTGATTCTAATAAGAGTCTTTAGGGAATAGCTCAATCCCATAGTCATGACCTCATGACAACTCTTACATAGGTGAGTCCTCTAAGAGTGCGTGTGACCCACACCTCGCGAGAATTCCCGCCTCGGTACTCATTTAGGGTAAACCCTTCCTAACACCACAATCATAGCACTATCACCATAGGGATGAGCATAAATAATATAGTGCTATTACGAGTCACACAGTGCGGGTTATTCCTACCACATTGAGCTTTCTTCGTGGGATCTTCAATCACAAAGGTTGGATTACTCTCGGAGGTGACTCCCTTACGGGCTTAAGCCCATCCCATTCAATGATTCATTAACACCCTTTTTGGGTAAAGCTTTGATTAAGTTATCTGATAAATTCTTTTTAGATCTCAGGAAATTGAGAGAAATCACATTTCTCTTAAGTAAGGCTTTAACTGACTTAAGTCTTGCTTGAATATGCGTGTTTATCTTCTTATTTGAGTGAGATTGATTTACAAGCTCTATTAGTGGTTTATAGTCACAATGTATTGAAATAGCTAGAACTGACTTACTTATTAATGGTATATCTAATAATAAATCTTTAAGCCACTACTAAAGATAATAGTTTGTCTTTTTGAACCTCAAGATATGGCCCCACCCCTAGCATAAATATATATCCAGTGGTAAACTTAATATCTACATTATCAATTATACAGTTTGCATCGCTATATCCTTCAATAACATTTGGAAATTTTTTATAGTTTATAGAATAATCTAATGTACCTCGGAGATATTTAAGCACTCTCTCTAGAGCGTTCCAATGTTCTTTACTTGGATTGTTAGTATATCTACTAAGTCTCCCAATAGCAAAGGCTTTATCAGGTCTTGTCCTATTTGCTATATACAACAAAGATCCAATAATTTGAGAATACTCAAATTACGAAACTGGTTTACCTAAATTCTTCTCCAAGTGTACATTTGAATCATATGGAGTGGAAACTGGTTTATTGTCATAATGTCCAAACTTTTCCAACATCTTTTTAATAGCATTAGATTGATTTAGTGAAATTCCTTCAAATGTTTTCCTTAACTTCATTCCCAAAATTATATGAGCTTCTCCCAAATCTTTCATTTCAAAATTCTTCGACAATTAACTCTTCACATCATTAATAAATCCTAAATTTGTCCCGAATATTGATATGTCATCTACATATAAACAAAAGTATCACATATTTATTATTATCTTTTTTGCAATATACACACTTGTCATGTATATTAATTCTAAATCCATAATTTAGTATAATTCTATTGAACTTCTCATTCCACTGTTTAGGAACTTGCTTTAGTCCATATAATGACTTCAGTAATTTACATACTCTATGTTCTTGTCCTTTGACTTTAAGTCCTTCTGGTTATTCTATATATATTTCTTCATTCAAATTATCATTCAAAAATGCAGTCTTAACATCCATTTGATGAATGATCAATTTATGAATACTACTCAATACTAACAATGTTCTAATAGTAGTTATTCTAACAATAGGAGAATATGTATAAAAATAATCAACTCCTTCTTTTTGAGTGAATCCTTTAGCTATTAACCTAACTTTATATTTATCTATACTTCCATCAGGTTTCAACTTCTTTTTAAATACCCACTTACATCCAATTGCCTTACTTCCTTGAGGTAAATCACATAAGACCCAAGTATTATTTTGTATAATTGACTCGTACTCATCATTGATAGCTTCTTTCCAATAAGGTGCATCAGTAGAAACCATAGCATCTTTATATGTTTCAGGCTCACCTTCAACTAAATATGTAAAGAATACTTCTCCAAATGATTTCTCTTTCCTAGTTATTTTACTCCTTCTACGTTCATGTTCAACTTTATCTTCTAAAGATGAACTCGATGAAGTCTTATTTAAAACTATTTTCTTAGAAATCGACGGTTCACTTGAAATTGCAATCTTAAACGGGAAAACATCTTCAAAATAAGTAGCATCTCTAGTTTCAATGATAGTATTATTTTTAATGTCACTTCGGAATTTGTAATCAAGGACCTATTTGCCCTACTATTTTGAGCATATCCTATGAAAACAACATCTACAGTTTTTGGTCCTATTTTCTTTCCTTTACGATTAGGTATAATTAACTTTGCCAAACACTCCCACACTTTTAGAAAATCTAACTTAGGAGATCTCTTTTTCCATAGCTCATATGGAGTTTTAATATTGTCTTTAACAGTTACTCGATTCAATATGTAACAAAAAGTTAGGACAGATTCACCCCATAAGTCTTCATGTGCTCCAGAGTTTATGAACATATCCATTAAAGTTCTATTCTTCCTTTCTGCAGTACCATTAGATTGTGGTAAATAAGGAGGTGTCACTTCGTGTATTATACCGTTATCCTCACGGTAATCTTTAAGATTATTCCCAGTATATTCTCCTCCTCTGTCGGACCTCAAAATTTTTATCTTACGTTCTAATTGATTTTCGACCTCGGCTTTGTAGATTTTGAACTTGTCATAGACTTCATCCTTCGCTTTCAACAAATAAATATAGCAATACTTGGAATAGTCATCTATAAATGTAATAAAATATTTATTACCAGATCTTATTGGCAATCTATTAGAATCACAAACATCACTATAAATCAATTCTAAAAGGTTTGTATCCCTTCTAACAAATTTAAAAGGTCTCTTAGTTTGTTTGGCTTGTACACAAACTTCACACTTATTATTACCAATATGAGATTTTGGAATTAGGTTTAGATCCATAAGTTTCCTGATCTTCATATTATCGACATGACCTAATCGTTCATGCCACAAGTAAATAACTTCCATTTTAAGAATCATGGAAGAATCATGATAAAGATTTTCAATAATATTCAATTTAGACAATCCATCACTAATATAACATTTCCCAACAAAAATATTATTTTTTGTTATAACAATCTTATTTGACTCCATTACAAGTTTAAAACATTGTTGAACTAAAAGTGATCCACTAACTAAATTTCTTCTAACTTTTGGAATACGGCGAACTTGATCTAAAATTAAACTTTTCTCGGAGGTCATCTTAAGTTCGACACTTCAATTTCCAATACAAGAGCGATGGAGTCATTTTTCAAAGTTACGCTTCCTCTGCCTCAAGTCTGATAAGATTTAAACAAACTCTTATAAAAACAAACATGAACATTTGCTCCAGAATATAACCACCATTCATTATAAGTAAAATTGACTAAAGCTGTTGATGATTCACACCTAATGGAATGTCCATCATCCTTCAACATGTTTACTTGATCCTTTTGAAACTTGTCCTTAAGCTTGTACTCCTTAGTCTTTTTGTAGTAGAAATCTCGAGCAATATGGTTGGTTCTTCCACATACATAACATGGCCCTTGCTCATTCTTTTCTTTGCCTTTGTTATTTTTAGTGTAGTTATTCTTAGGTTGGAAAATTTTCCTATAACAATGAAAGTTTTTCTTAAACTTATTATCTCGAGTCTTAAATTACTTTGAGGAGTTAGTAGGGTTTTTTGAATTTTCTACCAAGTTTGTCGTGGCATGTGATTCATCAGCTTCGTTGATACAATTTCTATGATGTTCTTCTATTCTCAAGGAATTGAATACTTGGTTCAATGTTAAAATCCCTTGCTTATGTCTAAGACTTTTAGCAAAGTCCGACCAAGAAGGTGGAAGTTTATCTATAAGGCATGAAACCTTATAGTCCTCACTAAACCTTGACCATTTTTCTTCTACGTGTC